TCTTGAGTTCAGAATAGAGCAACTGTTTTGGGAGATGGTGGTCGGGCATCCGGACAACGTGGCCGGTCCAGCGGAGTTGATGGCGGAGGACCATTGCTTCGATGCTGGTGGTCTTTACTTCTTCCAGCACGCTGACGTTTTTCCGCCTGTCTTCCCAAGAGATTTGCAGGATTTTTTGGAGGCATCGCTGATGGAATCGTTCCAGGAGTTGCATGTGACGTCTGTAGACAGTTCACGTCTTGCAGACGTATAGCAGGGTTTGGAGGATAATAGATTTATAAACAAGCACCTTGGTATCCCTACAGATGTCCCGGTCCTCAAACACTCTCTGCTTCATTTGGAAAAATGCTGCACTCGCAGAGCTCAGGCGGTGTTGAATTTCAGTGTCATTGTTGACTTTTGTGGAGAAGTGGCTGCCAGGGTAGCAGAAATGGTCAACATTTTCTAATGTTACACCATTAAGCTGTATTTCTGGCGTTGGAGAGGGATTGGCTGGTGACTGCTGGAATAGCACTTTGGTTTTCTTGATGTTTAATGACAGGCCGAACTTCTTGTATGCTTCTGAGTGGCTTGTAGGTTTTCTTCTGAATGCGCACAGACAACATTGTCATCAGCATACTGGAGTTCTATAATAGATGTTATTATAACTTAGGTTTTGGCTTTCAATCTGCTGAGGTTAAATAGCTTGCTATCTGTCCGATAGATGATTTCCACTCCAGTGGCATCTCAGATACTTACATTACAATTTATAACTGTAGCAAAATTACAGTTAACGAATATAGTTTTATGGTTGGGGTCGCAGCATTAGCAAGATTGAGAACCACTGCATTACAGCAATAACACATTGGGCATAGCAGCAATATTTTCAGTAAGTTAAAATCTTCCTCCACTTCAAGGCAACACAATCAGAGTAAAACCTATTTTTTTCCATAGCAGGAACTAAGCTAATTCTATTATTTGCTTGTCTTTTTATTATTCCATTAAGACATACTGTAATTTCCAAGCAGTTGGCTTCCTTTCTAGATTTGCCTGCCTTTTCTTGACCCTTTATGTTACTGAAACTGAAACCACTCTTGACTTGGTGAGAGACAAGCCTTTTCAAGGAAATGGGAATTACCCCTTGAAATATATATATATGGGTAACAGGCCAATTTCTGGACTTTCCAATCTTCCGAACTGCAGCTGCCTTTCTCCAGCTGGACATTCTTCTGCAAAGTATTTCTTCCAGGATTGTGAAATACTTTACTTGGCAATTCTTCTGTTTTGGAGGGAATGCAGCCGACCATCTGTATACAAATCTGTATACAAATATTTGTCTATTAATTGCACGTACAATGCATCCAACACAACGAGGGCAAAAGAAGCAAAGATGGACTGGAGTTCTGTAAAATTAAGAACCAGGACTGATTCTAGATTTGGAGAGGGGGGAAAAAAATCAAAACATACTGTTGAATTCATATACTACTAGCTTTACCCGCCACAATTGTACAAGTTGTCCCACTTTAAATAATAATAATAATAATAATAATAATAATAATAATAATAATAATAATAATATTTACTAGCTTTACCCGCCACACGTTGCTGTGGCCAACCTTCTCTCCCTCTTTCTCTCCTTCTTTCACTCCTTCCTTCATTTCCTTTTCTTCTTTCCTTTCTTCCTTCTCTACCTGTTTACTTCCTTCCTTAGCTTTTTGCTCCCATCCTTCCTTCTCTTTATTTCTTTCCTTCCCTCCCTCTTTCTCTCCTTCTTTCTCTTCTTCCTTTGCTCCATCTTTCCTCCCTTCCCTTTTTTCTTTCCTTCTCTCCTCCTTCCTTCTCTTCCTCTTTCCTTCCTCCTCCCTTTTTATTTTCCTTCCTCTTTCTCTCCTTTCTTCCCTCTCTATCTCTTTCCTTCCTTCCTTCGCTCTTGACTTCCAGACTTCCTTTTCTTTCTTTCTTTTCTTCCCTCCCTTTCTCTTCTTCCTTTGCTTTTTCCCTCTCTTCCCCTTCCCAAATTCCCCTTCCTTCCTTCCTTCCTTCCTTCCTTCCTTCCTTCCTTCCTTTTGACACCTTCCCTTCCCCTTCCCTTTCTTCTTTTTTTCTATCTTTCTTTCCTTTCCTCCTTCCTTCCTTTCTCCCTTCTTTCCCATCCTCCTTCTCTCTCTGTATTCTTTCTTTCCTACCTTTCTTCTTTCATATACCTTCTCAACTTCCCTCCCTCCCTCCCTCCCTTTCTCCGTTCGCGCAACATCCTGGCCCCCAGCGAGCAGGACGCGTTCTAGAACTACAGTTCCCAGAGTGCATTGCGTGTGTACTTCCTCCCCTGGGCACTGCGCATGTTCAGTTGGTTTTTGTAATAGTTAGTTTGTTGAAATGCTGTTTGGAATTTTGATTTGTGTTGTGCATAGCTTGGGGGTTGAGGTATGTGCACGGCAAATTTGGTGAGTTTTCATCGGGGGGGTTTTCACGTTTTGCTGTCCCGTTGAACACCCTTTCCATTTTTATATATATAGATTTTTGTTCCTGGGATATAAATGTCATTTCCTAATTGGATCTGTCATAAAACATGGAAAACATTTATTCAACTTCAAAAACTTTGTAGGACATTCTTCGGCACATTTTGTTAGAGCATGTTTAAAAATCAGTTGGTGAGTGTCTTATGAGTGAAAATGCAAAGCACGAAGCTGATGGTTAGGCTACACTCAGGAGACTGAAGAAGAGAAGCCTGAGAGGAGACTTTTTTTTTTGTCATGACAGGAGTGACTTGAGAAACTGCAAGTCAATTCTGGTGTGAGAGAATTAGCTGTCTGCAAGGACATTCCCCAGGGGACGCCCGGATTATTTTGATGTTTTTATCATCCTTGTGGGAGGCTTCTCTCATGTCCCCGCATGAAGAGCTGGAGCTGATAGAGGGAGCTCATCCGCCTCTCCCTGGATTTGAACCTGCGACCTGTTGGTCTTCAGTCCTGCCAGCACAGGGGTTTAACCCACTGCACCACTGGGGGCTCCTGAGAGGGGACATGATAGTGATGTATAAATACATGAGAGGAAGTCATATGGAGGAGGGAGCAAGCTTGTTTTCTGCTGCCCTGGAGACTTGGACACAATGGAGTAATGGCTTCAAACTACAAGAAAGGAGATTCCATCTGAACATTAGGAAGAAATTCCTGACTGTGAGAGCCATTCAGCAGTGGAACTCTCTGCCCTGGAGTGTGGTGGAGGCTCCTTCTTTGGAAACTTTTAAACAGAGGCTGGATGGCCATCTGTCAAGGGTGCTTTGAATGCAATTTTCCTGCTTCTTGGCAGGGGGTTGGACTGGATGGCTCATGAGGTCTCTTCCAACTCTATGATTCTATGAGTCTTATGATTCTATGACTAGCTGAGCCTGGTAGTTTTGGCAACAGTTACATTTGTTTGGCTTGAGCTGTGCAGGAGCTAGGAGAGACCGTTTTGAGTTCTTGCTTCATGAGCTGCTGGAAGAGGATCTTCCACATGGACACCTCAAGACTATTTAGCAGTTTGAAGCCGTGAGTCAAGGTGAGCTCCTGCTGTCAGGCCTAGCTTCTGCCAACCTAGCAATTCAAAAGCATGCAATGCGAGTAGATCAAAAGGTACTGTCTCAGCAGGAAGGGAAAAGGGTGCCCCATGCAGATATGCTGGCAACATCTTCTCTGTATCGTTCCAATTTTAGTATATGTGCTGCCGAAGCGAGCACCAGATATGCTGGCAACATGACAACAGACTCCTCGGCATGGAAAAATGGAACAAGAGCACCTCCCCATGGCCAGAGTTGAGCATCACCTTCAGGCGCCAGAGATGGAAGGGGAAGGCCTTTACCTGTGTCTGCATATTGTATGTTGTTGTATGTTTGCCTTATATATGTATACTGTAATCCGTTCTGAGTCCCTCCGGGGAGATAAAGCGGAATATAATTAAACATCATCATCATCATCATCATTATTTGAAACACAATAAAATGAGTCCACAGCAGACAAGATCACTCTGCTGGCTGTTGAATTGGATCACACGTCAGACACTTCCCAAGTGTCTAGGACTGTGTGATGTATTGGCGAATAAACCGTGCAGATCCCAGTAGGGTGGCCTTTTGCAGCTGGCAGATGGTAATTTTGTCAGCGCCGATTGTGTTTAAGTGCAGGTCAAGGTCTTTAGGCACTGCACCCAGTGTGCCAATCACCACTGGGATCACCTTGACTGGCTTGTGCCACACACTTTGCAACTCAATCTTTAAATCCTCATATCGTGTCAGCTTTTCCTGTTGTTTCTCTTCAATCCTGCTGTCACCTGGGATTGCAACATCGACAATCCATACTTTGTTTTTTAGCATGATCATGAGGTCAGGAGTATTGTGCTCCAAAACTCTGTCTGTCTGAATTCGTAAGACCCAGAGTAGCTTGATGTGTTCATTCTCTGTAAATTTTTCAGGCTTGTGATCCTTATTATTATTATTATTATTATTATTATTATTATTTCATCCCTTAGAAATGAATGCTATTCATCCAAGAGAAATTAGAGAAAGCACTACAGGCTTATTAGAAAACAATTCTTTATTTACATCTGTACATATTGGGTAGGTAATAAACACACATGTACATTATACTGGTCATGAAACAAAAGTGGTATCCTGAGGTTACATAGCTGATTTTTCCTTCCCTTTGAGCTGACTTTGGCCCCGTCTATGCTGCCATTATAATGCAGATTGAACTGGAATATATGGCAATGTAGATTTATATTCTCCCGTTCAATCTGCATTGTATGGCAATGTAGTAGTTTTCAATCTACTTCTTGTTCAGCTACAGTATGGTCTAGCCAAGGCATGGGCAAACTTGGGCCCTCCAGGTGTTTTGGACTTCAACTCCCACAATTCCTAACAGCCTACCGGCTGTTAGGAATTGTGGGAGTTGGAGTCCAAAACACCTGGAGGGCCCAAGTTTGCCCATGCCTGGTCTAGCCATAGATGTTGAATCCATGGATATAGAATCAGTGGATATGGAGGGCCAGGGATTCCAATTTAGCCCAGGGATTTCAATTCTCTCTTTGTATAAATACCAATTTTAAGACAGGGGTCTGTCTTAAAATTGCAGCAGGAAAGGGAAGGGTTAGCTTTCCATGTCAAAAGCAAAGATACACTTAAAAAAATAAATGCCCATTTTCCCCATTTGTCCTGGGAATGCAGCTTAATTGTAGTTACAGGAGTGGATTCGAAAGGAGAATTTGGACATCTACATCAGCTTTCTTCACTATAGTACCTTCTACATGTGTGGTGTTATAACACAGCCAGCAATGGAGTTTGGAAACGATGGGTGTTGTAGTACAACACACCAAGTGGACAAAACAAACAGAGGAAATACCTATTTTCTAACTCTTAATAGCTTACACAAATACTTAGAAAGAAAGATACAAACATGACCTGATGGTGGGACATTATTCTTCCTAAAAATGTCAAAAAAACAGGAAATATAACAACAAAAATAACACGTGTGACATCATTGTCCTTGAGGTCAAAGACTTTTCTGTTTCCTTTTACAGTTAGACTAACTCTGATCTGGACAGATGGCGGGATAGCTTTGTTACAGGATCCCTGCAGTTTTATGAGAGCAAGATGTTCGTTGAACAAGGATGATGGTTTTTAGAGTCCTTAAAGAGTCAGTCCTCAAGGAGACATTCAAATAATTTAAACCCTGAGACCCAACTTGAACCGTATTATCAATCTTCCTCTGTAAGGAAATGAGCACTCCTATTTTCATATACTTCTCCTTTCTGGTCTTCACTTCCTTTTCTTCAAAATAGCCTGCAAGAGAAGCAGAGGAAAACGTCAATACAGTGTTCCCTCACTTGTTGTGGGTGTTACGTTCCAGGATTAACTCTGATCCTGACAGACGGTGGAATAGCTTTGTTACAGAATCCCTGCACGACCACCTGCGAAAAGTGAAAATCTGCAAAGTAGGGTCGCTATATACAGTAGAGACCCGGTTATCCGACACTCCGCATTATCCGCCGCTGCCGCCTTTGCTGCCCTCACTGCCCTCCCTCACTCGCTCCCTCGCTGTTTCCTCCATTGCTTGCTCACTCACCAGGCTGAGTCCTGGTTCTGCCGCTGCAATCTGTCCTGGTGAGTGAGCGAACGAGCACGGAAAGGCGGCAGCGGTGGCAGAGGCAGGAGCTTGGAAGAGGCAGCCAGGCTCCTGCTTCTGCATAGGGTCGCTATATACAGTAGAGTCCCGGTTATCCGACACTCCGTATTATCCGCCACTGCCGCATTTGCTGCCCTCACTGCCCTCCCTCACTCGCTCCCTCGCTGTTTCCTCCATTGCTTGCTCACTCACCAGGCTGAGTCCTGGTTCTAACGCTGCAATCTGTTCTGGTGAGTGAGCGAACGAGCAAGGAAAGGCGGCAGTGGGGGCAGAGGCAGGAGCTTGGAAGAGGCAGCCAGGCTCCTGCTTCTGCATAGGGTCGCTATATACAGTAGAGTCCCGGTTAGCCGACACTCCGTATTATCCGCCGTTGCCGCCCTCACTGCACTCCCTCACTCGCTCCCTCGCCGTTTCCTCCATTGCTTGCTCACTCACCGGGATGAGTCCTGGTTCTGCCACTGCAATCTGTCCTGGTGAGTGAGCGAGCAAGCAAAGTGGCAGCGGTGGCAGAGGCAGGAGCTTGGAAGAGGCAGCCAGGCTCCTGCTTCTGCAGCCGCTGCTGCCTTTGCCACCCTTCTCACTCACTCACTAACCCCTTTCTTCACTCTCTACTCACCTGGCCAAGTCCTGGTTCTGCCACCAGGACCCAGCCCGGTGAGTGAGCAAGCAAGGGAGGGAGAGTGAGTGAGCAAGCCAGGGTGGCAAGGGCAGCAGCGGCAGAAGCAGGAGCATGGCCACCTCTTCCAGGCTCCTGTTTCTGCCACTGCTTCTGCCTTTGCGGTTAACAGCCTCACTAAACTACAAACCCCAGAATTCTGCAGGAAGAAGAAACTGGATTTTAAATGGATTTTGTGATGAAGTAGTTTAACTAACATGGGTCAATCCTATGGAATCCTGGGAACTGTAGTTTTGCAAGTTCTTTAGCCATCTTGCCTAAAGAGCGTTGCTGCCTCATCAAAATCCAACTCCCCTGATTCCATAGCATTGAGCCATGGCAGTTAAAGTAGAGTCAAAATGTGTTAATTCTGCCATGTAGATGGACCCCTGAGCTGTCCAATTGTCGATGCTGCTCCTTACCTCTTTTATGCTCCTTCCCTGCTGTCCAGCCGTGTCAAGGCATCCTGTCCTGCCTTTCCTTTTGAAAACAACTCTGCAAGACAGAAAATGGAAAGCCATTACAAACCAGGTTAGTAATTATTATGATCATAGGATGTAAAAGGTAAACGCAGTGTTTCTCAACCTTCCTAATGCCACAGCCCCGTAATACACTTCCTCATGTTATGATGAACCCCAACCATAAAATTAGTTTCGTTGCTATATCATAACTGTCATTTCGCTGAATAGTAATGTAAATATCTGATATGCAGGATGTATTTTCATTCATTGGACCAAATTTGGCTCAAATACCCAATACACCCAAATTTGAATACTGGTGGGATTGGGGGAGGGAGGGTATTGATTTTGTCCTGTGGGAGTTGTAGTTGCTGGGATTTATAGTTCACCTGCAATCAAAAAGCATTCTGAACTCCACCAACAATGGAATTGAGTCAAACTTGGTACACAGAACTCCCATGACCAACAGAAAATACTGGAAGTGTTTGGTGGGCATTGACCTTGAGTTTTGGAGTTGTAGTTCACCTACATCGAAAGAGCAATGATGGATCTGGACCAAACTTAGCACGAATTCTCACTATGCCCAAAATGTGAACACTGATGAAGTTTGGGGAAAATATACCTTGACATTTGGGAGTTGTAGTTGCTGGAATTTATAGTTCACCTACAATCGAAGAGCATTCTGAACCATACCAACGATTGAACCTCCATGACCAACAGAAAATACTGTGTTTTCTGATGGTCTTTGGTGACCCCTCTGACATCCCCTTGCGACCCGTCCAGGGGTCCCGACCCCCCAGGTTGAGAAACACTGAGGCAAAGGTTTCCCTTGACACAAAGTCTAGTTAAGTCTGATTCTGGGGGGTGGTGCTCATCTCAATTTCCAAGCGGAAGAGCCAGCGTTGTCCATAGACGCCTCCTAGGTCATGTGGCCGGCGTGACTGCATGGACCGCCGTTACCTTCCCACAGAAGCGGTACCTATTGATCTATTGATTCTATAGATCGTAGGATGAGGCTATGGCAATTCAAGTGATATCAGGATGCTACAGTTGTGCATTGTGGAAGGGACCTAAGGTGGGCTTTGTGTCATTCTCTACTTACACCAACTCGTCCTGAGCACAGCTGGGGCTTGGCCGGTGGTATTCCACTTTTGCAACATTCGATATGTTGACCCGTGCCATGCGCCTTCCTTGACACAGACAGTGCCCCCTGCTGGAGGTCGGCATTCCTGGAAGAGATGGCACAATTTTAGTTAAAGGTAAAGGTTTTCCCCTGACATTAAGTCCAGTCGTGTCCAACTCTGGAGTGTGGTGCTCATCTCCATTTCTAAGCCAAAGAGCCGGCGTTGTCCGTAGACACCTCCAAGGTCATGTGGCCAGCATGACTGCATGGAGCACGCTTACCTTCCCGGTAGAGCGGTACCTATTGATCTACTCACATTTGCATGTTTTTGAACTGCTAGGTTGACAGAAAGGCACAATTTTATTTACTATTTATTTACTATATTTCTATACTGCCCTTTTCAGCCCAAGGGCGACTCAGTTAACAATGGGTCTTATGCTGAACAATCAATTATTATTTACTTATTTACGACATTTATATGCCGCCCTTCTCACCCCAAAGGGGACTCAGAGCAGGTTAGAAGATATATATGCATACAATATATTATATTAATAGTATAGTACAACATATTACTATATTGTACTATACCATTATATTGTAATATTATTAGTAATATTACATGTAATCTATATAAATAAAAATGTAATGTTCATTTGTGGGATTAACAGAACTCAAAAACCACTGGGGGAATTGACACCAAATTTGGACACAAGACACCTAACAACCTAATGTATGTCCTTCACTCAAAAAAATGATTTTGTCATTTGGGAGTTATAGTTGCTGGGATTTATAGTTCACCTACAATCAAAGAGCATTCTGAACCCCACCAACAATGGAATTGAACCAAACTTAGCACACAGTTCTACCATGACCAGCAGAAAATACTGGAAGGGTTTGGTGGGCAGTGTCCTTTGGTTTTGGAGTTGTAGTTCACCTACATCCAGAGATCACTGTGGACTCAAACAATGATGGATCTGGACCAAACTCTATACGAAGACTCAATATGCCCAAAAGTGAACACTGGTGGCGTTTGGAGAAAATAGAATCATGACATTTGGGAGTTATAGTTGCTGGGATTTATAGTTCACCTACAATCACAGAGCATTCTGAACCCAACCCATAACAGAATTGGGCCAACCTTCCACAGAGAACCCCCACGTGGGCCACAGCAAAGTGTGGCAGGGGACGGTTAGTATATTATATTATTAGCATAGTACAATATCAGTATTAAATATTACTATATTGTACTATACTATTATATTGTAATATTATTAGTAATATTACGTGTAATATTACTATATAATTATAATATCATATTAGTAGTAGTAGTAGTAGTAGTAGTAGTATTATATTGCATTACATCATAATATTATAAAATAATATTACTAATATTATAGGAAATAATATATATTATAATAATATTATAGGAAAGTAACTTCTCTGTGAGCCCTTGAAAAGATTGTTTAGACTGGATCTACACTGTCAAATAATGCAGTTTTTACTGCTTTCTATGGTCAGTGTGGAGCAGGACTGAGCAAACTTGGGCCCTCCGGATGTTTGGGACTTCAACTCCCACCATTCCTAACAGCCAATAGGCTGTTAGGAATGGTGGGAGTTGAAGTCCCAAACACCCAGAGGGCTCAAGTTTGCTCAGGCTTGATGTGGAGCCATAGAATGCAGTGTATTGTCGAAGGCTTTCATGGCTGGAATCATTGGGTTGTTGTAGGTTTTTTCGGGCTATATGGCCATGTTCTAGAGGCATTCTCTCCTGACGTTTCGCCTGCATCGATGACAAGCACCCTCAGAGGTAGTGACCTCACTACCTCTGAGGATGCTTGCAATAGATGCAGGTGAAACGTCAGGAGAGAATGCCTCTAGAACATGACCGTATAGTCCGAAAAAACCTACAACAACCCAGAAGCTACATTTATCTTTCACCTATATCAATCCCCCTGAGTACCAGTTAACTGAGAGTCTACTTTATTTTGAATTTAAAGAACTGTTGAGCAGTGGAACTCTCTGCCCAGAGTATGGTGGAGTCTCCTTCTGTGGAGGCTTTTAAGCAGAGGCTGGATGGCCATCTGTCAGGGGTGCTTTGGATGCGATGTTCCTGCTTCTTGGCAGGGAGTTGGACTGGACAGGTCTCTTCCAACTCTAGGATTCAATGATTATTTTTAAGATGTAACAACATTCTGTATGTTTTGATACACGCAACTGCCTGAATCGAGGCCACACGTGATTGCCTTGGTCAAGATCTTGGAGTCTTTGTGGGCCAACAATGTGATGCGGCAGCAGAAAAAGCCAATGGGATTTTGGCCTGCGTCAATATGAGTCTAGTGTCTAGACTACCCCTCTATTCTGCCTTGGTTAGACCACACCTGGAATATTGTGTCCAATTCTGGGCACCACAATTGAAGGGAGATGTTGACTCAAAGCTGGAATGGGTCCAGAGGAGGGCGACTAAAACAATCAAGGGTCTGGAGAACAAGCCCTATGAAGAGCGGCTTAAAAAGCTGGGAATGTTTATCTTGAAGAAGAGAAGGCTGAGAGGAGACATGATAACCATGTATAAATATGTGAGAGGAAGTCATAGGGAGCAAGGAAGTCATAGGGAGCAAGCTTGTTTTCTGCTTCCCTGGAGACTAGGATGCGGAACAATGGCTTCAAACTACAAGAAAGGAGATACCATCTGAACATTAGGAAGAACTTCCTGACTGTGAAAGCTGTTCAGCAGTGGAACTCTCAGCCCCGGAGTGTGGTAGAGGCTCCTTCTTTGGAGGCTTTTAAACAGAGGCTGGATGGCCATCTGTCGAGGGTGCTTTGAATGCAATTTTCTTGCATCTTGGCAGGGGGTTTGACTGGATGGCCCATGAGGTCTCTTCCAATTCTATGATTCTAAGGATTCACAGCAAATGGAAACAGTCTTTAATTTTGGAATTCTGTGACATCAGAACTGTACAGAATGCCAACTGGTCCCAAAACCACTGATTCCAACTTGGGAAATGTTAGGAGTTATAGACCAAGGAAAAAGTAACAAAAAGTGCTGATATCAAGAATCTAGAAGTTTTCTCATCTGTCGATGGAGCTAAATGGAAGAAAAGAAGATGGAAATCACATTACCTTGCAGGAGAGCTGCACTGAGGATGAGGAGCAGGACTGCGAGAGCGGACTTCATCATTTTTTGCTGCTTCTGAGGCTTCTTTCTGCCTCCTCCTCCTTCTCCTTCTTCTTCCCAAGGAGGCTTCTGAAAGAGGGAGATGCGATGTGAGGAAAGTCAGGAGGGAAGCCCGTATTTATTGGCTGCTTTCACCCACTGGCTCCATCCTCAGGGGAAATTCCCTTTCCCGGCCACTTTCGGTTTCCTTGCATTGTCATTTCACATAAATCATTGTCCATTTCCTATCTCAGTATTGCTCTCCAAAGAATTGCCAATACAGCACAATAGCTGGAAACTTGGATTTCTAGGTATCATAGAACATTTTCCATTAAGGTCCACGTTTTCCACTCCTATTCACTCACCGCCTATAGAATAGAGTAGAATAGCTTTATTGTCATTGTGCTATTTCGTGGGATGTGGTTCAATGAAACTACAGATATCAGTCCTGTATGTATGTATGTATGTATGTATGTATGTATGTATGTATGTAATGTTCGTTTGTGGGATTAACATAACTCAAAAACCAATGGACCAATTGACACCAAATTTGGACAGAATATACCTAACAACCCAATGAGTGACCATCACTCAAAAAAATTGATTTTGTCATTTGGGAGTTGTAGTTGCTGAGATTTATAGTTCACTTACAATCAAAGAGCATTCTGAACCCCACTAACAATGGAATTGAAGCAAACTTGGCACACAGGACTTCCAAGACCATCAGAAAACAGTAGAACAGTTTGGTGGGATTTGACCTTGAGTTTTGGAGTTATAGTTTACCTACACCCAGAGAGCACTGTGGACTCAAACAATGATGGATCTGGACTAAACTTGGCACGAATATTCCATATGCCCAAATATGAACACAGATAGAGTTTGGGGGAAATAGACCTTGACATTTGGGAGTTGTAGATGCTGGGATTTATAGTTCACCTGCAATCAAAGAGCATTCTGAACCCCACCAATGATAGAATTGAACCAAACTTTCTACACAGAACCCCCATGACCAACAGAAAATACCGTGTTGTCCGATGGTTTTGGTGACCACACTGACACCCCTTTATGACCTCCGCTGGGGTCCCGACCCCCAGGTTGAGAAATGGTGCCTTAAGGCCATCCAGTCCAAATCCCTTCACCAGAGCAAGAAAATATACCAAAGCCCTCCTGACAAAGAGCCATCCAGCCATAGGTATAGATAGATAGATATGATTCACACACACACACATATATATATTCCTGGTGTCACTCCATCTTTGCTCCTCCCGCCTTCAGCAGCATTTGCACTCCTTTTCCCAGAAGTTCTAATTTATTCTTGCTCTGTGGGGAATAGCTGAATTGACCACTGGTCCTGACATAATCTCACTTGGGCCAGCGGGGTTACACGCAGGTTGAGAATTCTCTGCTTCCTTCCTCTTCCATCTGGAAGAAGGATAGGTAATCAAGTCCGGGTTTTACCCCCACCCTCGAGGCAGCATGCAAACGCTTTGGGTGCCTTCACACCTAAGCAGCCAGAAGGCATGGGTGCGGAGCTGACCCAGTTCGGGTTTTGCCTCCACCGCCCTCTTCTCGGAAGTGCAACCAAAGACTCCCGGGCTGCTCGCTTGTTGAGGGGCATTCAAATCTTAGTAAGGGAAGGAAGGAAGTGAGGAAGGGGCTGCCAGAGGAGAAAGAGAGCGGGATGGGCACGAGGACACCTCAAGAGTGCCCCTCATGGATGTGCGCTATACGCAAATGCGTATCTTGCCTATTGCTTCAGCTGCCCCTGCATTCACAACAAAAGTTGACTGAACATAATGAGTTACATCATAATGTCTAATAAATACCGATATTCTACACCCAAATGTGCATCTGCTATTGTGCAACAGGGAATGTACTAGGGGAGTTCCTGCAAACAAAACGATGGTTGAAAGCACTGAGAAACTGTTATGTACTTCTGAGTAATCTCCAACTGCATGGCTCAAATGTTGTTGCTTAGTCCTAAATACAACAGAACTGCCGAGTCCACTCTTAAATGATGAGTCAATATATACTTAGATCCAGTTGATTCTCTGTTGTTGTGCTGTTGTAATTTTAGAGTTTTTTTTTAATACTGGTAGCCAGACTTTGTTCATTTTCATGGTTTCCTCCTTTCTGTTGAAATTGTCCACATGCTTGTGTATTTCAATGGCTTCTCTGTGTAGTCTGACATGGTGGTTGTGAGAGTGATCCAGCATTTCTGTGTTCTCAAATAAGAGAGGAAACAAACAAGGACACCTGATCACCTCAAAACAAAAGTTTGCTCCAGGCACTGTGAGGCCATTATATGCTAATCAAGGTGGTCAGTTGAAACATTCACACCTAGCTACAGCAGACAAGAGTCCTTTGTCCCACCCTGGTCATTCCACAGATATATAAACCCTTTTTCCTAGTTCCAACAGACCTCACTACCTCTGAGGATGCTTGCCATACATGCAGGCGAAACATCAGGAGAGAATGCCTCTAGACCATGGCCATATAGCCCGAAAAAAACCTACAACAACCCAATAATAATCTTTATTTCTTACCCCACCACCATCTCCCCAATGGGGACTCGCTCCGGCTTACATGAGGCCAAGCCCAAATGACAAAGAAAACCAAAAACACAAACCGAAAATGCGAACAATAAACAATAACATCATAGTTAAATAAAACACATGAATACATAACAATATGAAAAATAAAAAAATATGCACAGGCACTATAATGGGCGGGCAACATGTAGTAATCAAGAAGACAAACTGATTCAAACTAATTAAAAAGTCGGGCGAGATAAAAGAGGGAAGCAGGTAATTTACGGAAGAGGGCTCATTCCAGCGGGAGTTGTGGAAGCAAACTTTCCCATGAGGGGGGACGTATATTCCAATGACAGAACTTTGAGTCAGAGCAATCATGTGGGATTATATACCTATTCATCAAAGGCACAGCGGAAGAGCCAGGTTTTAAGGTTCATGTGAAATGATTGCATTTGTGGAACGCCTCTTACACAGCCATGAACTTAGTATTCCCATTGCACAATAGCTAAAGAAAGATAACTGCATACATAAGGGAATTTCCACATGGGCATGACGCCAGTCAAATTCAATCCAATGCATTTAGAAGTTGATAAAAGAAAACTTAAATAGGGACATTCATTTAATATTTAAGTGCCAGAATGGTGTAATGGTTTGAGTGTTGGACTAACAATTGGGTTAGTATTTGTAGTAAGATTCGGAGGATATTCTCATGACAGTACATTTTCAGCTGTTTGAGCAGTTTGATTTGCCAGACAGCTGATGTAATTACTTTCTTGGAATCAATTCAAAATAAGACAGGACAGAATTATTGCGAAAGCAGTTGCTGCAGGATCACCGGAAGGCAAACCAAAAAAGGGAGGGAAGGAAAGGCCAGTCGCAGGAGGTTGGGGCTGCCCACACATGAAATCCAGAGGGTACACCTGGTTTCTAGTGACTTTACTTCCAAATTCATCTTGGAAAAAACAAAGAAATAAAACTGGGTTGTTGTAGGTTTTTTCAGGCTATATGGCCATGGTCTAGAGGCATTCTCTCCTGACGTTTTGTCTGCCATGAAAATGAACAAAATCTGGCAACCAGTATTAAAAAACTCTAAAATTACAACAGCACAACAACAGAGAGGAAACAAACAAGGACATCTAATCACCTCTCAACAAAAGATTGCTCCAGGCACTGTCAGGCCATTGTATGCTAATCAAGGTGGTCAGTTGAAACATTCACACCTAGCTCCAGCAGACAAGAGTCCTTTGTCTCACTCTGGTCATTCCACTTTCCTAGTTCCAACAGACCTCACTACCTCTGAGGATGCTTGCCATAGATTCATGCGAAATGTCAGGAGAGAATGCCTCTAGACCAGTGGTTCTCAACCTGGGGTCCCCAGATGTTTTTGGCCTACAACTCCCAGAAATCCCAGCCAGTTTACCAGCTGTTAGGATTTCTGGGAATTGAAGGCCAAAAACATCTGGGGACCCCAGGTTGAGAACCACTGCTCTAGACCATGGCCATATAGCCCAAAAAAACCTACAACAACCCAGTGATTCTGGCCATGAAAGCCTCCGACAATACAAAGAAATAAAAACTCCCTAAAAACTGTATTGTCGAAGGCTTTCACGGCTGGAATCACTGGGTTGTTGTAGGTTTTTTGGGCTATATGGCCATGTTCTAGAAGCATTCTCTCCTGATGTTTCGCCTGCATCTATGGCAAGCATCCTCAGAGGTTGTGAAATGAAAACTCCCTAAAAACTGTTCCTTCCTTATCCACACTCAGCCCTTCAATAGGAGAAATAAGATTTCTATCTGATATAATTTTTTGTAATTTTCTTCACACATATGAAAATGGTAACTGTGAAAGAACGTTCACATTTGGTACTCATTTTTGTACAAAAGTCACACACAGGGTGTGTTATGTTTTCTTTTCTGCACAAAGCAGAAGGTATAATTAATGATCTATTAGGATTGTTGTTGTTATATGTGCCATCTCTCTGCAGGTTGTGCCAACTCATTGTGCAGGCCGTATCCGGCCCCTGGGCCACATGTTGTGCAGGCCTGGTGTAGATGTACCCAAAAGTTAAATAGTACATCTCAAAATTCTACATATTGCTGTGTCTTGATTACTTTTCTCACATAATGCTGGGGTTCAATGCTATGGAATCCCTTTTACAAAGTCTTTAGCCTTCACTGCCAAAGAGGGCTGGTGCAAACTGCAACTCCATAGCAGGATTCCATAGCACTAAGCCCTGGCAATTATAATTGTATCAGACTGCATTAATTCAGGAGTGTAGATGCATCCTGAGTTCAATGTTACTTCAACACCATGCTCTCAATTTGACACCCCCCCCCCCCCCCCCCCCGGTTATATAACATTTCCCAAGCTGTTTAAATACACCAGGCCACTTTTTATCTTACTCGTTTGCCCTGCAGCATTTTACTGCTCTCACTTTAGAGCAGTTTTTCTCAACCTTCTTAATGCTGTGACCCCTTAGAATCATAGAATCAAAGAGTTGGAAGAGACCTCATGGGCCATCCAGTCCAACCCAGTTCTGCCAAGAAGCAGGAATATTGCATTCAAATCACCCCTGGCAGATGGCCATCCAGCCTCTGCTTAAAAGCTTCCAAAGAAGGAGCCTCCACCACACTCCGGGGCAGAGAGTTCCACTGCTGAACGGCTCTCACAGTCAGGAAGTTCTTCCTCATGTTCAGATGGAATCTCCTTTCTTGTAGTTTGAAGCCATTGTTTCGCGTCCTAGTCTCCAGGGAAGCAGAAAACAAGCTTGCTCCCTCCTCCCTGTGGCTTCCTCTCACATATTTATACAGTTCCTTAATACAGTTCCTTATGTTGTGGTGACCCCCAACCATAAAATTATTTTTGTTGCTACTTCATAACTGTGATTTTGCTACTGTTACGAATTGTAATGTAAATATCTGATATGCAGGATGCATCTTCATTCACTGGACCAAATTTGGCACAAATAGCCAATATGCCCAATAGGTTGGGGTGGGGAAGGGGGAATTTTAGTTGCTGGGATTTATAGTTCACCTACAATCAAAGAGCATTCCGAACTCCATCAACGATGGAAATTGAGCCAAATATGAATTTCAATGTAAATATCTGATATGCAGGATGTATTTTCATTCACTGGACCAAATTTGGCACAAATACCCGATATGTCCCAATTTGAATACTGGTGTGCGTGGGTGGATTGATTTTGTCATTTAGGAGTTGTAGTTGCTGGGATTTATAGTCAACCTACAATCAAAGAACATTCTGAACTCCACCAGAGATGGAATTGAACCAAACTCGGCACACAGAACTCCCATAACCAACAGAAAATACTACAAGGGTTTGGTGGGCAATGATCTTTTATTTTGGAGTTGTAGTTCACCTACATCCAGAGAGCGCTGTGGACTTAAACAATGATGGATCTGGACCAAATTTGACATGAGTATTCAATATGCCCAAATGTGAACACTGGTGGAGTTTGGGGGAAAGACCTTGATATTTGGGACTTGTAGTTGCTGGGATTTATAGTTCACCTAGGAGCCCCCGGTGGCGCAGTGGGTTAAACCCCTGTGCCGGCAAGACTGAAGACTCACAGGTCACAGGTTCGAATCCGGGGAGAGGAGGATGAGCTCCCTCTCCAGCTCCTCATGCGTGGACATGAGAGAAGGCTCCCACAAGGATGATAAGAACATGAAATCATCCAGGTGTCCCCTGGGCAACGTCCTTGCAGACGGCCAATTCTCTCACACCAGAAGCAGCTTGCAGTTTCTCAAAACTAAAAAAATAGTTCCCCTACAATCACAGAACATTCTGAACCCCCACCAACGATAGAATTGGGCCAAACATCCCACACAGAACCCCTATGACCAACAGAAAATACCGTGTTTTCTGATGGCCTTTGGTGACCCCTCTGACACCCCCTCATGACCACTCCAGGAGTCTTGACTCCCAGGTAGAGAAACGCTATAACCATAGTGGGATCCTGGAGAAAGGTGGGGAATAAATCATGTCAATTCAAACAGTTAATCTCAATTTTGCATTGGATGGGACTAGGAGACAAATGGCTTCCTAGTGAAAAATGACTTCTTTCGGGGTTTATTTTGCCTCCTGGGAGAAGAGATATTTACTATTTTATAAAATTCCAAAATGCAGCTGCTTGGGTGACTCCCTGTTCCCCCAAAACACCACTCCCATAAGATATTGGCAAAAAGGATAATAACATCATATCTTCTTTGGCTCCAGCTTCAGGCCGGAAACTTCCCTTAAATGGCAAATTACAATGGTTTTACTTCCAGCACACACTTCCCCATCTGGCTTTTGATAAGAGGTGACGATGCATATCCAAGTAGCACTGAGGGAGATCGTGATGCTCGTGGTTAATCAGTAACTTCCATATTTACTGGCCTCTATATTGATAAGGAACTCACAGCAGGGGACTTTCCCAAATTGCAGGCATGGTGTTAGCTTAAATGGTGGTGTTATTAGAAATGAAGGCCAAGGGTCTTTCCCTGTGATTTAATTTTAAACGGTGTTAATGCTTTATTTTACAACACCGTTATGCTCCCGTTTGCCCTCATCCTCTTGATTCATGCAGCATGTCAAGAGCAGTTATATATACTACAATGTTGTTATTGAGCCACGGTAACCCCCCCCCCCCAAAAGATATATAGTTTAGCAAGAGAGTACAAATAAATATTTGATTTCTCCTTTTTATTAAAAACCTTTTTTTTGGAGGTCTGAAATTGCAAAATTCCGAAGTTTTGGAGGATCAGGAATGCACCTAGCAGCATCTGTACCCCTCAAACTCTATCATATCTAATCTATATAAATAAAAATGTAATGTTCGTTTGTGGTATTCACAGAACTCAAAAACCACTGGGGCAATTGGCACCAAATTTGGACACAAGACACCTAACAACCCAATGTATGTCCTTCACTCAAAAAAAATGATTTTGTCATTTGGGAGTTGTAGTTGCTGGGATTTATAGTTCACCTACAATCAAAAAGCATTCTGAACCCTACCAACGACGGAATTAAACCAAACTGGAAGGGTTTGGTGGGCAGTGTCCTTTGGTTTTGGAGTTGTAGTTCACCTACATCCAGAGATCACTGTGGACTCCAACAATGATGGATCTGGACCAAACTCTACACAAATACTCAATATGCCCAAATGTGAACACTGGTGGAGTTTGGGGAAAATAGAATCTTGACATTTGGGAGTTGTAGTTGCTGGGATTTGTAGTTCGCCTACAATCACAGAGCATTCTGAACACCACCAATGATAGAATAGGGCCAAACCTCCCACACAAAACCCCCATGTGGGCCACAGCAACGCGTGGCAGGGGGCGGCTTGTCATTTAATAAATTGTATCAATTTAATTATTTCTGTGTAACTTGTTTCTTTATTGCTGTGTACTGTATCAATGTCTTATATGTACTGTATAAACTGTCTCTTATATATATCAAAATGTAACTTGAAGGTAGCCACCTCCCTATGACCCTATTTTCATAATCCCTTGGAATCCCTCCAGCAATTTCCCAAGCTATCAGAATCATTGTGTGTATGAAAAGACAGATGATCCTCTTTGCCAGCAAGATAAGCTCAGGATGTTTGTCCACTTAACCTGTGGTTGAGAGTCTGCCACTCCCATGGAAGAGGGGGCTTAGTGTATGTCCATTCATCAACCCTATATACCGACAGCAAAGTCCTTGATTGCTTGAGATCAGCATTTTTGAGCTTTACACCTTTGCTTTGCACAGAATTGGACAACTGAGTTAATCCAGAACTCATCAGCATATCTGTACCATTGTTTCTTCTTGAACTGCGCCCTCCCAGGGGTTGCCACTGCAGTGGATTGGCCACCTACAAACCCACAAAAATAGTCATCAAGGAAGACCATCTTACTCGTCCAACGAGGGATCGCCTAAGTAAGTAAGTAGGATTGGCTCTTTGCATAGACCAATCCCTGGCTGCTATTCTCCTCGCCATGGTACTCCCCACCTGAAGGCTGTGACATCAAGGGATGTCAGTGTGTATTTCATGTATGATGTATGATGTATGTTTAAATGTAATTTTATGTAGAAGAATAGTGATTGTAATAGAATTGTATTGCCAGGATGTATGTTTGCACAGAAGGGTTAAAAACAGCAAAGTAACTAGCTGTGAGAATGTGACCCTGTGACCCTGAGTTCTTGCTGTGTGAAACATTAGGGAGTGTCAGAGATAACTCCTTGCCAGCTGCAGTTTGCTTGTGTGCCTATCTCGTTAGTTCTGTGTTCTTCATGTCTGTCTGTTCATGATGAATGTTGTGTTTTTGGAACTGCTCAAGTAAAGCTGAAACCTGCTTTTTACCAGTGACTCCACAGTCCATTATTCAGTGCTTCCGTGATACTTCTGCTAGCCCTGACAAGGGAATCATCAGCCAAACTCAGTGTAGATCGTGGCAGGCCTCTTTCTCAGCCAGTTAGGAGGGAGAGCGGTTGGTAGGGATAAGAGAAAGGGCCTTCTCCGTGGCTGCCCCCCATCTCTGGAACTCCCTTCCTAAGGAGTTAAAGATGGCCCCCTCCTTCCCTGCTTTCAAAAAACAGCTGAAGACATACCTTTGCTCACTGGCTTATGAGGAGGATGAATAGTAGTTGGTAATACTACCAGTATACCTCTGATTAATAGTTGCCATCCGTATCCGTGCCCTGCTCACCCCACTAGCTCAATAGATATCTTGAGCAATGATTAATTGCTTTGCCCCAAGGTACTGGGAAATTTGATGTTTTGTCTTATGTCTGTTATAACACGCTGTGCTTTTTATTTAATTTTAGTTTGTTAAGTTTAATTCCTATTTATATGTTGGGTTGTATAAATTTTGTTAGCATGGCTGTATTGTTGTTGTATTTGGGCAAGTTTTATTGTTACTGACTTCAAAAAACTAGCTTCAAAGTCCCATATTAGTTTGTATCCTTAACACCAGAAAAATGCTTATTTAATATACAGAGCGGCTTGCACAATGTTTTGAACTGTGATATGGATTTTCTTAGCATTCACAACTGATCTTTCTGCACTTGAAAAGGTAGAGGAGGCATCGATTTGTTCGCACACATACAAAACATGCTGCCACAAATGAATTGCTGGGCTTAGTTTGGTTGCCACAACAACCTTTCCCAAACACAGCGCTGCACTGGGAGCCAGTGCTTAATGCCATTGGGAATTAACCTGGAGTTGTCTAGATTGGTTTAGTTTTATGAACATTCAGAAGCCAGCCAGATAGGAAATTAAGAACGGCCTTTTATGCAACTTTTGGAGAGCATTGATTTAGATTTAAATGCCAGATTGAATGTATAGTTCTTCAGCTTTTTGCAGTTCAGTGGTACGTATATTATTGCTTTTTTCTTATATCTTTAAGATTTCTAATGGTAAGAATATTTATCTGGGAGTAACCTTAATGAAAGAAGTCAATGGTGTCAGTTTATTTACATGTCAATGGGGCAATGAATTTGCTCTGGGTTTTACTCCAAAATTTTAAAGGAACTCTCTTAGATGTTAGATGCTAGCACTTCATGAAAATAGTTCTTGTAAAGTTTGGACTAAAATATAGAGTATGTTCTGTCATGCGCTGGGCCTGTATTTGGTTGACTTTAAAAACAGGATGTGTAACCTTTGCCCAGCGGGAAGCCAGGGGCCCAAGGAGAAGTTCTCAGAGGTTTCCACTACAAAGAGTGTTCAGGTGGCTTGAGAAGTACAACAAAGTCTTTTATTAATGAAATCAAACAGGTACTTCAAGGCTTTCTTGATAAACTATTGGCTCTCTCAACCTTGTCCACAGGGGACAGGCACTATCTTCAATAACTTTTTCTTTAAAGGAAAATTCCCCTTTTTAACTTCTCCCAGGCTGACTGAAATCCAACCCTCACTGATGTGGGCTCCACTACTGGGCTGAACTGCTTCTCGGACGCCGAGTGGACCTACCAGCAAGGCAGTGGATGTTCTCCAGCTGGAGTTCTTTAGTCTTTAAGGCTGTTTTCCTGGAAATTCTTAAAGCTGTAGGAATGCTTCCCTGGAGTTCCCAAAGGTTGAAGCTTTTGTACAGGGGAAGTTACACACATCCTATACATAAGCTAACCTGGCTGAGACCAACTAACAAAATGGCCCACTTCCCTTCCCAATTGCCCTGAGCAAGGGGCAGGACCAAAACTTAACGATGACGGACAGGTGGCCTGCCCTATGACTGCAGCCAAAAGAAGCCACCTATCTGCAGAGTCCCTGAAACTTAGGACTACAAACAAACATTCAATGCAAAGCAAAGAAAATTGGAGCTCCTGGTACAGCTGTACCTGCACAGAGTAGATTCATTATTTGATTGTAATGGAGGCTTCCATTCCAATCACTTTTCAACTGAAAGGAGAGATCAGATGCACAACTAAATGGGACTTGAGCATATTCACCATATGCAATGGGCAATGTACACACAGTGCATGCTCACTATACATGCACGAAGTCATTGCGTGTACAAGTCCACTTCTGCAAATTTGAACTGAAAGCACATATTCTACATCAGATAGAAATATCCAAGGGGAACTTATGCATGTGAGAGATACCAACAGGGTTCCAACCACACTGACTTAAAACATGAGGATTGTGTATCTACATCTACACTGATTATAAGTTATAATATAAAATATATATTTATTTTTCTTGTAAAGATATCTATTTGACGAAAACAAAAAAAAACTTGAGGAACTGATTTCGTCATTTGGGAGTTGCAGTTGCTGGGATTTATAGTTCACCTACAATCAAAGAGTATTCTGAACCCCACCAACGATGGAATTGAACCAAACTTGGCACACAGTTCTCCCATGACCAACAGAAAATACTGGAAGGGTTTGGTGGGCAGTGTCCTTTGGTTTTGGAGTTGTACTTCACCTACATCCAGAGATCACTGTGGATTCAAACAATGATGTATCTGGACCAAGCTCTACACGAATACTCAATATGCCCAAATGTGAACACTGGTAGAGTTTGGGGAAAATAGAATCTTGTCATTTGGGAGTTGTAGTTGCTGGGATTTATAGTTCACCTACAATCACAGAGCATTCTGAATCCCACCAACGATAGAATCGGGCCAAACCTCCCACACAGAACCCCCATGTGGGCCACAGCAACGCGTGGCAAGGAACGGCTAGTGTGTGTGTGTGTGTGTGTGTGTGTGTGTGTGTGTGTGTGTGTGTGTATAGTCTTCAATAAACTGTTTTGCTGATTTATCTTGGTCTGGAGTGTGGTAGTTAAGTACAGAGGTGCTCCTGTCCTGGAATATAACAAAAACAGGAAAATAGGATTCACTCTGTCCTGCTTGGGAAGGGAAGTCCAGAGTCTAGAAATAGCTACCTGAAAAGCATGTTCTTTGGTATAATAGTGTGTTGCAGAAATAGTAGAAGTCAGTGGTTAACAGTGTCCCTTTGAGTTTCAAACCAGCTACTATTATCATAATTAAATCCCAGAAAAGATCTGTTATTTGGTCCTAGGAAAAAGCTTGGTTCTTTATTCTTAGTATTCACACAGCATCTCCTTTTGGGAACCTGAGATTTAACCTCCCCTTCCTTTGCCTTATGGCTTTCAGTTGACTCCTTGATTCACCCTTTTTCTGTTCCAGGAGCTCCAATTTTATTTGCTTTGAATTAAATATTGGTTTGCAATCCCAGGCTTGGGATTTTGCAGCAGGGTGGCTTCCTGTTATAGTTTGCAATCATAGGGCAAGCTACCTGTCTATTATAGTTAGGATCCCGGGTCCCGCCCCTCTCTGGGTTTTTTGGAGGGAAGGGGCCATTTTTCAGTTAGTCTCAGCAAAGGAAGTCAATGCAGAAGATGTATACAGACATCCTCCTGTGCAAAGGCTTCGTCCCTTAAGACTTTCCGGGGGAGAACAGTCTTGAGAGCCTCTAAAGATTCCCAAAGGTTCCGGGGAAACAGCCTTACAGCCCTGAGGAATTCCGGAGGGAACAGCTCTAACCATCAAAGCAGCTAAGTGATTGCAAGCCTTTTGATAGGTTTGCTCGGCGTTGAGACGCAGTTCAGCCCGGTAGTGAATCCACATCAATAAGGTTTAAGTTCATAGTTAGCCTGGGAGAAGCTAGAAAGGGGAATTTTCCTTTAAACAAGGTTTCTGAAGATAGTGCCTGTTCCCTGTGAACAAGATTGCAAGAGCCAAGAGATTGTTAAGAAGGTTTTACAATTCCTGTTTGTTCATCAATAAAAGACTGTTTAATAAGGGAAATTTCTCTAAAGGCTTCTTTTCGGGGGCCCTGGCTTCCCGCTGGATCCAAGCCATACATCCTCTCTTAAGGCACTTCATTTCAGGTCCAGCGGCAACAGAACATTTTCATTTGGCTCATTTGGCTCATTTCCATTCCATGCAGAAAAAAACTAAAGGCATATAATTACCCTACATAGTGGAGAACCCCATTAGCTTTTGGGACACTATAAATTGGAAATGACTTGAGCAAAGTGGAGATCGCAATGAGAAGACACAAGGAGGCAAATGTCATGTTTGTGTAGGTTGCTTAGAAGAAAAGCTACTTTTCTAAGCTCTGCTTAATAGAGATGTTTGTCCTTTCCAGATTAAATGCCCTCCAAGTGCATTCAAAAACGTGCCATTAAGAAATCCAGGCTCCCTGATGCCTTGAACAGTCGACGCTGGAAGTTTTTGCCAAATGGCTTGGATGATTTCAGAGATGGCTTCCCTCCTCTGTGTGACAGCATTGTTACGCAACCGCCTACAAAGGGGCCTGACCCTGTTGTTCTTCCTACTATATCCACAGGAATGGGCACACTGCAGCTGTGGCCCAAAAGGAAATTGCCAGCCAAGCCCCATTGCTATCTTTCCAAGCTCAGCCTGATGCAGAAAACCAGAAGGAGCTGCATTGCCCAGGTTGAACACTGCTTGAGCCAACATCCTTTGGCTCTCTATCCCCACCTGGAAGAAAGCATCCCTCCAGAGGTAAAGTCCTGCATTCATATCAAAGTTTAGTTTTAAAAACAAACAAACTTCTGATCATTTAGCAAGTTGAATAAGTAAGTGTTTGGGATTTTGGATATTTGTGAATTTTGGAATGCCAGTATTTGCATACACATAATGGGACATCTTGGAGATGGGACCCGAGTCTAAACGTGAAATTGGTTTATGTTTCATACACAATCATATAATATTACTTTTGTGAATGAAATAAAGATTGTGTACAATGAACCATCAAGGTGCTGCTATCTCAACCACTCATATGGATGATTTTGGAGGATTTCAGGATTTTGGGTAAGGGATGCTCAACCTGTATTTATAGATTTACTTTTTAAAATCTCTCTCATCTCACAGTCAGAATCCAACACAGCTCACAACATAAATTCAGCCAAAGATCAAACAACCATAACACTGAAGGCAGTCACTGATGCCCTACACCAGCTTCTTAGGTACATCTAAGAAGTTGGGTTGGGATGGCATTAATATAAGGTAAAGGTAAAGGCTGACATTAAGTCCAGTCATGTCTGACTCTGGGGTGTGGTGCTCATCTCCATTTCTAAGCCGAAGAGCCGGCATTGTCCATAGACACCTCCAAGATCATGTGGCCAACATGACTGCAAGGAGCCCCCGGTGGTGCAGTGGGTTAAAGCGCTGAGCTGCTGAGCTTGTTGACTGAAAGGTCACAGGTTTGATTCCAGGGAGCGGTGTGAGCTTCCACTGTCAGCCCCAGCTTCTGCCAACCTAGCAGTTCGAAAACATGCAAATGTGAGTAGATCTATAAATCCCTAAATGACTCCGGCCCAGTTTACCTGTCCGAACGGATTCTCCCCTATGAACCATCAAGGTTGTTAAGATCTTCTGAAGGGGCCCTGCTCTCGGTCCCACCTCCTTCGCAATCGTGTCTGGTGGGGACGAGGGACAGAGCCTTCTCAGTGGTGGCCCCTCGACTCTGGAACTCTCTCCCGTTGGAGATTAGATCTGCCCCTTCCCTCCTGACTTTCAGAAAGCTGGTAAAATCTTGGCTTTGGAATATAGCATTTGCAGAATGATGATTGAGTCAATAACGACTGACCACACTGGCGGATGGTAATGAATTTGTGATTTTACTCTGACGACCTGGCTTTTGTAATTGTATGATCTGTATTTTAATGTATTTTTGTATTAATGTATTATGATGCTGTTATGTTTATTCTATGTGTGTATGAATTTTCTGCTGTTAGTCGGCCTGAGTCCCTCTTCGGAGGTCAAGAAGACCGGGTTATATTTATAAATAAAATCAATAAATCAATAAATCAATAGGTACTGCTCTGGCGGGAAGGTAACAGCATTAATATAGGTATACAATAATACTACATAGTCTTACTAAATATAGAGCAGCTACAGATTTGTACCCTACAAGCACTAGATTCTGATTCATCTTGGAAGATGAGAAGGGTCAGAACTAGTTAGTACTTATATGGGAAACATCCATTGAGCTCCAGGTACTATAGTCTACACTGCAAAGGAAAGAATGGGCAAAACCATCTCTGCTAATTTTTTGCCTATGAAATTTACATATGTGAGTGTCTTCAAGTCCCCTTATGGCAGGCCTGGGCAAACTTTGGCCCTCCAGGTGTTTTGGACTTCAACTCTCAAATTCCTAACAGCCTACCGGCTGTTAGGAATTGTGGGAGTTGAAGTCCAAAACACCTGGAGGACCAAAGTTTACCCAGGCCTGCCTTATGGTGACCCTATAACTACAAACTGCATCACTGCCTAGCCTTAATTCTCTTTCTCATTAATCATGTTTGAAGTTTGGAAGCAAACTGTTGCTTTTGTACACTGTTCCAAGATGTTTGACATTGTTTTGTTCAGTTACTGCATTAGATAGATAGATAGATAGATAGATAGATAGATAGATAGATAGATAGATAGATAGATAGATAGACAGACAGATAAGTACTGTGGGACTTTGGTGTTTGGCTACAGGGTTCAGGGCCCACTAAAGTCAGGTTGACAACCCACATATAGGTGGCACGAGCAATAATTACCATCTACATTTTAAGTGAAAGAAAACACACTTCCTTCAACCAAGGAAGGATCTTGACTTGGAAATCTGACTTGGAAGAAGTTTGTGTGGACTCCAGCCCACTTCCTCCAGATGCAGAGACTGTCAACTGAATTGGAAGAATATTAAGCAAGGGCTTTTGTGGGTGGATGAGTGGGTGGATGAGGATCATAATTAGTGGAAGAGGAGGAAGAGAACAATTCCCTCTTGCTCCCCACCTCCATTTCAATTCCCTCTGTCCCCAGATCCCCCACCTACTCACACACCCACTGAAGCGTGTTGGCTGAGTTGGCAGATTAACCCTGAGCGGGTGAGAAAAGGGCAATGTTGTTTCTCTTCCTCCTGAACTGGTTTCAGTTTCCTCTCTTCTCCACTGAACACAACTGTCCACGTGCACCTACATAGGCGCATGCACGCATGCAGTGTTCACCCTCACTTCCCATTCTGTAGTTGTCTACTCAGGAAATACCCCATTTTCTTCTGTTGTGTGTCTTCAAAGAGTTTCCTACTTATGGTGACTCTCAAGTTGAACCTATCATTGGTTTTTATTTGCCATGATTTGTTCAAAGGAGGCTTGCCTTTGCCTTCCTCTGAAGCTGAGAGAGTGTGACTCATCCCAAGGTCACCCAGTGGGTTTCCATGGTGGAGCGGAAATTTGAACCCTGGTGTCCAGAGTAATAATCCAACACACAAAATCACTATACCACATTACTGTGATGGAAGCACCTTTCTTGGAGGCTTTTAAACAGAGGCTGGATGGCTACCTATTGGGGGTGCTTTGATTGTGCTTTTCCTACAGTGCAAATGGTTGGATTAGATGGCCTGTGTAGTCTCTTCCAACTCTTTAGAATCATAGAATCAAAGAGTTGGAAGAGACTTCATGGGCCATCCAGTCCAACCCCCTGCCAAGAAGCAGGAATATTGCATTCAAATCACCCCAGACAGATGGCCATCCAGCCTCTGTTTAAAAGCTTCCAAAGAAGGAGCCTCCACCACACTCCGGGGCAGAGAGTTCCACTGCTGAACGGCTCTCACAGTCAGGAAGTTCTTCCTCATGTTCAGATGGAATCTCCTTTCGTGTAGTTTGAAGCCATTGTTCCATGTCCTAGTCTCCAGGGAAGCAGAAAACAAGCTTGCTCCCTCCTCCCTGTGGCTTCCTCTCACATATTTATACATGGCTATCATATCTCCTCTCAGCCTTCTCTTCTTCAGGCTAAACATGCCCAGCTTCTTAAGCCACTCCTCATAGGGCTTGTTCTCCAGACCCTTGATCATTTTAGTCGCCCTCCTCTGGACACATTCCAGCTTGTCAATACCTCTCTTCAATTGTGGTGCCCAGAATTGGACACAATATTCCAGGTGTGGTCTAACCAAGCAGAATAGAGGGGTAGCATGACTTCCCTGGATCTAGACACTATGCTCCTATTGATGCAGGCCAAAATCCCATTGGCTTTTTTTGCCGCCACATCACATTGTTGGCTCATGTTTAACTTGTTGTCTACGAGGACTCCAAGATCTTTTTCACACGTACTGCTCTCGAGCCAAGCGTCCCCCATTCTGTATCTTTTAGGCTCTATAAACACTGCCATATAATCCAGTTTCCGGATACAGATTTTCTGCATTGATTATATGACAGGGTAGACTCATAAAATCCAGTCTAAAGCAGTTCATTTGTATTCAGAAACGGGATTATGTGGCAGTGTAAATTCATCTTAAATCAACCCTGATGTATGGCAGCCCTCTTGTAGGGTTTTCTAGCAAGATTTCTTTGGATGAGGTTTGGCTTTTGCTTTTCTCTGAAACTGAGAAAGTGGATCCTACTCTATGACTCAAACTGCTAATGGAATGGGATCCACAAAAACATCAGTCAATGCAATATTATTTGTCTGTAAGCCAGTGGTTCTCAACCTTCCTCATGACGCGATCCCTTCATACAGTTCCTTATGTTGTGCTGACCCCCAACCATAAAATTATTTACGTTGCTACTTCACAACTGTAGTTTTGCTACAGTTATGAGTTGCAATGTAAATATCTGATGTGCAGGATGTATTTTCATTAATTGGACCAAATTTGGCACAAATACCTGATACGCCCCAATTTGAATACTGGTGGGGTTGGGGGATTGATTTTGTCATTTGTGAGTTGTAGTTGATGATCTACGCCGGGTGCTAGACAGGGGGAGTGTGTCCCTGTTGGTTCTGCTGAACCTCTCAGCGGCCTTCGATACCGTCAACCACAGTATCCTTCTGGGACACCTCGCTGGAATGGGCCTTGGAGGCACTGTTTTACGGTGGCTCCAGCCCTTTCTGGAGGGTCGCACCCAGAAGGTGTTATTGGGAGACACCTGTTCAGCCCCACAACCATTGTCTTGTGGGGTTCCTCAGGGTTCAATACTGTCTCCCATGTTGTTCAGCATATACATGAAGCCGCTGGGGGAGATCATCTGGAGTTTTGGGGTGCAGTGTCATCTGTACACAGATGATGTCCAACTCTGTCACTCCTTTCCACCTACTACTAAGGAGGCTGTTCAGGTCCTGAAGCGGTGCTTGGCTACTGTGACGATCTGGATGAGGGCTAACAAATTGAAATTGAATCCAGACAAGACAGAGGTACTCCTGGTCAGTTGTAAGGCCGAACAGGGCATAGGGCTAAAGCCTGTGTTGGATGGGGTTACACTCCCCCTGAAGACGCAGGTTCGCAGCTTGGTTGTGATTCTGGACTCGTTGCTGAGCCTGGAACCTCAGGTCTCGGCGGTGACCAGGGGAGCATTTGCACAGTTAAAGCTTGTGCACCAGCTGTGCCCGTACCTTGGGAAGTCTGACTTGGCCACGGTAGTCTATGCTCTTGTTACATCCCGTATAGACTACTGCAACGCTCTCTACGTGGGGTTGCCTTTGAAGACTGTCCGGAAGCTTCAACTGGTCCAACGGATGGCAGC